GCCCAGCGCTGCTTTGGTGGATTCGCCAAGGTGCGGCTTCCGCTGGCAAGACTCTCTAGGGGAGCCCTAGCCCCAGTTGTGTAAGTTGGGATGTTCCATTTAGGGTTTAGGGTTTATAGGGTTTAGGGTTCAGGGTTTAGGGTTCAGGGTTCAGGGTTTAGGGTTTAGGGTTTAGGGCGATGTTCACCCTTATGCAAACAGTCCTTTATAGGGAGTATAATTGGGAGTACTATAATGACTGTTTGTATAAGGGGGAACATCCCAATATATATATATATATATATATATATATATATACATATAAGTTGCAGGGCCAGGGGCGTACGCTTGTGTCAGAGCTTGGGGGGGATCTAGCTGCTGGGCAACGGGACCGGCAATGAATGCGCGCGTTCGGTTCGTGGCCTCGAAAGAACGTGCCCTCAGGACTTGTGCTGGAACGACGCCTGTCATGTGTGTGTGTGTGTGTGTGTGTGTGTGTGTGTGTGTGTGTGTGTGTGTGTTTGTGTTTTTGTCTGTCTGTCTGTCCGTCCGTCCGTCCGTCCGTCTGTCTGTCTTGTCTGTCTGTCTGTCCGTCTGTCTGTGTGCGTGGTCAGACCTGTGAGAAATAGAGCCAAAGGTCTACCTCTACGGGAACAAGAAGCTCCTCTTGACACTGCACAACGGCGCCTCGGATCACTTGAGGTTGGTTAGGTCCGGTCAGCCATTAAGTTTTGGGGCGGCTTGAAGCCTTTCAAGGCCCTCAAAAAAGCTCCAAAACCCGGGGCTGGGCGACGGGCTAGGATGTTCAAGGGTTTAGATATTGGGGTGTAGCATGGGGGGGGGGGGGGACCATGAATGATGAGGGTTTGTTTGAGGTGTTCAGGATGTTTGTTTCAGATGGGCCTCTTAGGCAACAGTCGCTCACGCCGTGTGCTTGCGATCTCACTGCTGAGTGGCACGAAATTGGCCAACGCTAGTGCGAGCAACTCCCCGTCCAAGCCCCATAGACTTGGGATGTTCCCCCTTCTACTGACAGTCCTTAGTCCTTGACGGAGATTTTAGAAGCCCCTATTGTAATCCCTACTAGGACTGTTAGCAACAGGGTGAGCATCCCGACAGAAACTCCGAAAGCCATAGATTGGCATCAGATAGCACCTTTGCAGCCCTAAGTTGCCAAACCTCCCTAAACCCTAAACCCTAAACCCTAAACCCTAAACCCTAAACCCTAAACCCTAAACCCTAAACCCTAAACCCTAAACCCTAAACGCCCTAAACCCTAAACCCTAAAAAACCTCAGCCACTGTCGTCCGAACAAAGCAACACACCTTCCAGGAAGCGAAGCAAAGTTTTTCAGTTGGGCATAGGGTTTGCGGTTGGGGGGGGGGGGGGGGGGGGGGGGGGGGGGGGGGGTGTGGGGGGGGGGGGGTGGGGGGGGGGGGTGGGGGGGGGGGGGGGGGGGGTGGGGGGGGGGGGGGGGGGGGGGGGGGGTGGGGGGGGGGGGGTTGGGGGGGGGGGGGGTGGGGGGGGGGGGGGGTGGGGGGGGGGGGGGGTGGGGGGGTAGGGGTGGGTGGGGTAGGAGGGTTTAGGGTTGAGGGTTGAGGGTTGTTTAGGGTTTAGGGTTAGTTTAGGGTTTAGGGTTTAGGGTTTAGGGTTTAGGGTTTAGTGTTTAGGGTTTAGGGTTTAGGGTTTAGGGTTTAGGGTTTAGCGTTTAGGGTTTAGGGTTTAGGGTTTAGGGTAGGAGAATCTCTACTTCTCCCTATTTTTTGCCAGTTTAGGAGGAACATCCTTGGAACACCTCTACTTAGGAAGAAGAAGGACGGCAAGCAAGGACGGAGGAAATGAAGGGCTGAAACAGAGACGAACAGAAGAGGAAAGGAACAACGGAAGAATGAGAGAAAGAACAAAATAAATACTCAAACAAACACAGAAAGAACCAACAGAAGGAAATAAACGGAAAGAAACACAAGGAGAGAAACGACACAGAATGAAGCAAACAAAAAGAAAGCAAACAATGAATAACGAGAGGAAGAGAGAGCGAGAAAGAAAAGGAATAACAAAGAAAGAAAGAAAGAAAGACAGAAAGAACGATAGAGAAGGAAATAAAGACAGAAATACAGAAACATCATGTCCAGAAGGGAACTTGCATGTTAAAATCAGAGGAATCCTTGCCAAACCCGTCCTGCGAGCATTGCCCCCCCCCCCCCTGCTTTTCCTAAATACCTGCAAGGCTTGCCAGGGAGAACCTGATGAGTCTTTTCCAAGCCCATCATGCGCGCATTGTGTTAGTAAATAGGTACCCTGTTAGGTTACTCACGGTTCGCTTAGCCAAGAAAATTAAGAAGAACCCAATTAAAAGTAAGCAGAATTCGATCAGAAATAATAGGGGTCTTAGCTAATAAAGAGGAAGAACCTTATGGAGCTATGAATCTCATTGAAATATAGAGGGAATCCTGGGGAACACAAAAGAAACAGACCCATAAGTACGAATTTCGATTAGAAGCAATCGGGTTCTTATCAAAACTACTACTCATACCATGAACATTAATAGTCTTGTCAAAGTGCGGAGGGAATAGAGCAAACAAAAACAAAATCGCCAAAAAACACAATCTCGCAAGAAAGATTCCAACCGTATAGGGTTACATAAGCTCTATCAGCCCGTAGAGCGCCGCCGTGCCCCCAACTGCAGGCAAGCTCCTTGTGCGGATCGGTGGCGGCTTCGCCACCCTGGACCGGCTGCTATCGATTTGCTGTGGCGAAGTAATAGCTTGAGATTCCCAAGCCCCAGAAACCCTATATTCCCTACAACTCCGTAAACGGCCCAGGCCGAAAGGCCAGGCCTTGATCTCTGAACGACCGGCTGCATCTCGACTCTCGGAACCGCGTAGCGGAAAGGAATATCCGAGAATGTCCAGGGCACTACATAAAGCATCCAATTCCAAGGGCTTCCGAAATCCTGACCCCAAACTAACAACCCCGAAAGACTGAAGACCTAAACCCCAAACCCTAAACCCTAAACCATTAAACCCTAAACCCTAAGCCCTTGAAGCAGCTACAGGAGTCCTGCATTTCAGATGCAGACCGTGCAGCTTCGGTTGTCGTGGCCCTAGCAGCCGTAGCAGCCCTAAAAGGGTTTTTTTTTGGGGGCTTGATCGGGTTTATGGGTTTTTTGGGGGTCTTTTAAAAAGGTTTATGGTTGTAGAGTTTAATTATGGGGCTTGTTTTTTTGAATTAGTTTTTTATGGTTGCAGAGTTTGTAGTTTATAGGGCTTGCAGGGACCTGTAAACCCAAACAACCTGTAAGTACATGCTCTGACACTGCAGATCCCAAGTTTCAGGGTCATGCATCCTATGGTTTCCTCCTCAGACCCGCCCTAAACCCTAAACCCTAAACCCTAAACCCTAAACCCTAAACCCCAAACCCTAAACCCTAAACCCTAAACCCTAAACCCTAAACCCTAAACCCTAAACCCCCGTGCTGTAAGCCTCCAGAGTCTGCGCAGAGAAATTCCACTGCCATGGCTTCCGGGCTTTGGGATTGACTTGCTGGTGCTTAGTAGGGAATGAGGGAATAAGGTACCTTAGCCGGGCCCCTTAAAGGCTTAAAGGGTATCTATAGTGGGATACAAGGTACCTTAATTCATTCCCTGATTGAGGCTTCGCAGTTCAAGGTTTTGGCTTGGGCCCAAGACCCTGTATCTTCAGGCTTCGAGAGGCTGGCGACTTTGCGAAAGCTCCGAGTTCAACCCTCGAACCCATTTAACTTAGGGATACTTGGGGATATTTCTCACTTTTTTGGGTACTACAATTCCTCAGAAGCAGCTAGAAGTTTGATTTTGCTAGGGTTCCAAGTTCAGTATAGCTAAAGAGTTAGGGCTCACAGTCGGCTGCCTCTTCTGTTGGGGGGGGGTGAAGCGTTGGGGGCCTTAGGAGTTTTGGTCGCTTTGGGTGGAGGGCGCGAACCCGAATCGTGATGTGACCACAAAGAGCCCCGAATCCGGCAAGGACTGAAAGAAGGCCTTGAACGAAACTCTCAGGTGCCTTAAGGTGTGCTTCATGGAGTCTTGCTAGATGCTGAGGTTAGGTTGGTGGGGTTAGGAGCTTTCGCATGTTATAGGTCGCTGCCCACGTTGTCCAGTGCTTCCATTTGAAGGCAAGTGGATGTCGGCGGTCGAGGGCATCTTACTGACACAGGTGTGTGGGCAACTGTTTGTGCCGAGCGGTTTAGCGTTTAGGGTTCAGGGTTTGGGGTTTGGGGTTTGGGGTTTGGGGTTTAGGGTTTAGGGTTTAGGTTTAGCGGTGCCGGGGGGGGAGGGACTCTCCACTGTGGACCTGGGAATCCTAGTTTGCCTGGTTTTCTTCTTGATGTCACGTGTCCACAGCCGGTAGGTCGAAGGTATGCGTTTTCTGCCAAAGGCTGTTAGGAATCACAGTGCAACCGCTGTAGCAAAGACTTGTGCAAGCCATGCTGTCATGGTTGTGATTTTTTGCGGTTGCGGGTGCATGGATTTCAATGTTGTGCTGATGCACTTGCTTCACTCCAGCAACAACCTGTCGATCAAAATTGCTTGTGAAAACCAATTCCTTGAAAGTTGCGCCCGCGCAGGCTGTCTGCTCAATTTTAACACTGGACAAGGGAAAAGATGACCAACTGCAAGAGCAGATGACACAAGACGGAAGCTGGAGAGCTTCTAGTGCAAGTCTCACGGTCGTACACACACACTACAGGAAGTCTACGAAGCAAGGCGTCCATGTGCGGGGGGTGTTGAGTCCCAAGGTCATATCGGCCGTGAGCTAAAGTTCGGCCAGATGTAGAAGTCCCAATGCAAGACTGACTCAAGACTGACAGTTCTGTGTTTTGGAGCACTGTACCTTAGTGCTTGTTTTTGGTTCTGGTTTCCTAGTATAGCTACTTCCTCCTAAAAAAGTATAGACTTTTTTTCCCAGGGTCTACTCTCCAAAGTAGGGGTAAAAATAGCACCTAGGAATCATTGGGCCCGCTCGCGCGCTCGCGCGCTGCCGCCATGGCAGCGCCAAGCCGAGATGATTCGCAGCCATCTTTGCCAAGCCTGCCGGTCACTGCAACTTTCCTGTTATCTGGTAGTAGCGGGGTTTAGGGTTTAGGGTTTAGGGATCATTACTAATAGTCTGTTCCCTTATGGCTCCTAAGCATGCCGGTCACTGCAACTTTCCTGTACTTAAATACTTTGTTTTGGTTCTGGGTTCCGATTATGGCTACTTATACCTAAAAAGTGTATTCCAGGGTCTCCTCCACAGTGGTTATCTGGTACTATAGGGGTTTCGGATAATCACGAATAGTATTCCCTTGTGGCTCCTAAGCCTGTCGGCCACTGCAGCTTTCCGGACACATGCTCTGGAAATTCATGCTTGGTGTCTTGGCATGTTATGGTTATCTGGGAGTATATTCCTTATGGCTCCTATATAACCTATATAACTAGACTAGAATACCCTTCCCCCCCCCCAAAAAAAAAAATTCTAATTATTGAGACTCCTGTTACTACCCAAATACCCAAAGAGCCCAATACACCTTAATTAAGGAATGTACCTTAAACCATATTAAGGATCCCTATACAAACTAAGCAATATTCCCTAATTAAGGGATATTGGGCCTTTGGGTAGTTTCGAGAAGTGCCGCGATCCCTCAAGAGAGCGGCTTGTTGAGGTCGCCTCGGCGTTGGATCGGTCACCGCTGGGCTCAGGCGTGGCAGAGGGAAGGTTTGGGGTTTAGGGTTTGGGGTTTGGGGTTTAGGGTTTAGGGTTTAGGGTTTAGGGAAGCTTAGGGAGCCTTGGGGAGTAGTAGGGAGTACTAGGGAATCCCCGCCCTAAAGAACCCTATAAATCATGATTCTGGATTTGGGATGTTTCGGGTGTGGGGTGACAGAGCCCTGTTGGGTTTTGGGTGGGGTCCTTTCCTTCATCTTTCTTCGGTCCCTATGCTCTCACTCTTTCCGTCTTGCCCTCTTGCCGTTGTTCATCTTCTCTGTTTTAGCACATGGCACATTAGCACATTGACAGCTTGCAAGAAGCAACCGGGCATGGAGAGCAAAGACCGGCTTGCACAAAGAAGCCGCGCTAGAGAAGTATGTCAAGCCACAAGAAGAATAAAACAGGATCAAGAAAAGAAAGCACGTGCTACATGTGTTGTTTAACCTCGTCCCTCTCTCTCTCTCTTACGAATGAAGCACATGGAAACGGAAGGGGGGGGGGGGGGGGGGGGGGGGGGCGGGGGATGACAGGCCCCCCATTTCCACCATTACTTTACAGATGGATAGGAAACAAAAGTGAGCAGAAGCAGAGATAACATGGAGGAGAAGGTATGAAGCGGTATCTTGCCTCTTCCTGTACTCCTTTCTTCTTCCTGAGGTGGAGAGAAAGGCGCCTCTCTTTTGCCACACTTTCGGAAGGACGAGTTTGCGATGACAACCATGAAGGGCAGCACACACAGCCTTCTGGATCCTCCTAATTTCCTTTTCTTTTTGAAGGTGAGAAGCATAAAAAAAACGTTGTTCGGTGAATATGCTAGAAGTTGCATTGAGAAATTGAAGGCGAGAGAGAGGGAGAGAGAGGCAGAGAGAGGGAGAGAGAGAGAGAGAGCGAGCCTCGAAACTGCAAAGCGGCTTTTCCATAAACACAATGACATTCTGGCCTTTATCAGTCCACCCCTCCACCACACATGGGGGGTTTCGATATTGGAGGTACCTTACAGAGGTCCATTGATTTGAGTCCAAGAGGGCTCATGGAGAGTCAGAGGTGTTGCGAGCCCTGCAAGCTCTGTACCACCTATACCCAATTCACCTCCTGGTTCTTAGTAGGGAAGGGACCTTAGGGCGCTATATCTGCCCTTTATACCTCATTCCCCATCCCTAAAACCCTAAACCCTAAACCCTAATCCCTAATCCCTAATCCTAAACCAGCCAGATAAACCACTCGCTAGAGGTGAGTACAGCAACCCCGTTGATGGCCACGGGAGCCAGACGTCTGCTGTGGCTCAGTCCGCCTGATGGCTGGTTCTTCGTAGGGAATGAGGGTTTAGGGTTTAGGGTTAGGGCTAGGGAACGAGGTAGAAAGGACATATGTAGCGCTCTGAGGTCCCTAATTCCCTACTAGGAGCCAGGGGGATGGAGGTTCGGGGGTTGGGGAAGTGCACGGTTTAGCATTCAGGGTTTTTTGGGCTCGCACTGTCTTGCTTAGAGTTTGGCACAGGCCACAAGATGTTCATTCCCCGCCATTGATGGGAGGTTTAGGGTTTAGGGTTTAGGGTTTGGGGTTTAGGGTTGAGGATTGAGGGTTGAGGGTTGAGGGTTTAGGGTTTAGGGTTTGAGGGACGGATGCTTTTCAGATGCAGCACGGCCAGGTCTTCAAGAAGCATTTGCCTCTCTTGAGGCCCCAGAAACTATCAAGCCCTTTGCTCGTTTGAAGCCCTGTTGCAACGTCCTAAACCCTAAACCCTAAACCCGAAACCCGAAACCCTAAACCCTAAACCCTAAACCCTAAACCCTAAACCCTAAACCCTAAACCCTAAACCCTAAACCCTAAACCCTAAACCCTAAACCCTAACCGAAACGTCCGAATCGTGCTGAACCACCGAGAGGTTGATGAGTTTCCTAACTGCAATACTCTAGACACTCAAAAGGCGCGAAGTGTTGAAGCCCCCTGTGCCTGGTATACACACAAGCATGCTACCATGAACTACATCGTTTGGGTTAGACCGTTACAGACCTCACTAAACCCTAAACCCAAAACCCTAAAGCCTAAAGCCCAAACCCTAAAGCCCAAACCCTAAACCTAAACCCTAAACTGAACCCTAAACCCTAAACCCTAAAGCCCCGAACGCGCAGTCTGTCCAGTCTGGAGTCTGGAAGAGTTACCAGCCAAGGAAAAAGACAGCCCCTGCCCCAGCCACCTGGCCGAGCATGAGGAAGCAGGGTCGGGTTTAGGGTTTAGGGTTTAGGGTTTAGGGTTTAGGGTTTAGGGTTTAGGGTCTAGGGTCTAGGGTCTAGGGTCTAGGGTTCTTGGAAATGCCTAGGGAAATGGGGGCGACACGGTCCTCCGCAACATGTGCAGAAACTGTCGAAACAGCGCCCACCACCCTAAACCGGTGCAGCACCGGCCTCCAATCCCTGAGCAGTCTTCCAATTGCGAAGCCTTGCTTCCTCTCGTCGTCACTTCTCTGGCTCACATGAAGCAGAACCATGTGGGTTGAGCCGAAACTGCAGGGAGTGGGCCGAAGCGCGTGACATGACAAAGCAAGGAGATAGGCAGACCGCCGGAGATGTGAGGAAGGGCATCGGAGAATCGTCACATGATGTGATCGATCTCGTTTCCACGTGGAAGCCACAACTTGCTCGAGAACGAAGTTTCCGGCGCATGAACCCCGAGCGGTTGGCTTTCCAACACGTGGGCATTTCCCAAAATAGGGCACACCCGTGGTACCCCAAAGAGAATGGAATCCCCTTACAGGGACCCCCAAGAAGGGTACCCCGAATTTTCGGAAACCCCCATACGTCTTCTTTGAACCGCGCTGAGGGAGAACGAACAGTATGATGTGGATAAGCGGCGGGGTCACCCAGTCGCGTCTATGGCAGCCGCCTAAGCTCGGCAGGCTAAAAGGAACACCATGTTTAAGTTCCTTCACTGCTAGTGCGAGTCTCTATAGTCTACAGGCTCACCCTCGAAAGCCGGGCTTTGCCCTAAACCCTCTGTCCTGAACAGCACGGTTCCATTACCAGGCGTGCTGTTGCTGTTGAGGTCCCTGAATGTTGTGCGTCTTGTCGCGCGCTGAAGGACTTCAGGGCTCTGATGCGGGGATCGTTTGGGCAGTTGATGGTTAGCTGGCTTACATAGGGGTGCTTAGGACCGGGGAGTATCGGGTGAGGAGTCGAGGTCTTGTAGGCTCCAACACCTTTCTTCACCCAAACAGAGGCCCAGTAGTGCCCTTATTCCCTTTTTGGGGGGCTCTAGGTTCCCCTATAAACCCCTTTAAGCAAAAAAAGGGCACCCTTTTTAATCCTAGGTTACTGGGCAACCTAGATCCCAGACGTAGCTAAGGGGGAACCCTTAAAAGGCAACCCCTTCTTAACCCTCTTTGGGCTCTCTTAAACAGGGACCTTATTCAGAGGGTCTATATCCCCAAGGGTCCCGCTAATCCTGTCCCCTAACATAGCCCCAAAGAGCCCAATACCCCTTAATTAAGGAAGATACCTTAAACCATATTAAGAATCCCTATATAAATTAAGCAATATTCCCTAATTAAGGGACATTGGGCTCTTTGGGGCCAGGCTACCATCAGACCTCGATGGAATACCATCAGTCATCGATGGAGAGCCCGGGATTCCGAAAAAGAGCTGCAGGCGACGCCTAAGGGGATGAGTTTTTTGTGTTTTGTTCGGGTGTGAGGTTTAGGATTGAGGGTTTAGGGTTTAGGGTTTAGGGTTTAGGGTTTAGGGTTTAGGGCTTCAAGCGAAAGCATTAAGATTTTCGTTGTTGTGCAATCGATGCTTTTGTTGTGTCTTTGTTGGAACTTTGGTTTCGGGAGGTGGTTCCAAGATGAAGCCCGCTTGTGACCCCATTCAGCAAGCCTAGGCGATGCTAAACTTCAAGTACACCCGAGGCCCTAAGTCCTACGCCCTGAAAAGCTACCGTTTCAACAGCTGGAGGCGGGATCAGCAGCAATTTCATCAAGGCCAAGCAGGTGGATGAGATGTCCAACCACTCCAGTTACACGGGCAAGGCTCGAAATGGTGTACGGGATCTGGGAAGGCTCGGGGTTCCCCTAAACCCTAAACCCTAATGCACAAACCCTACACCCTAAACCCTAAGCCCAGAATTTCACATTTTGGGGCCAAAGTGTGTCGCAATGTTGGGCATGCAAGGACTTGCAGTGTGTAATTGCCGATGTGGTCGGAGCCCCCTACTAAAGCGGTCTGGCAACAGTGGGTGGGAAGGGAGGGTTTAGGGTTTAGGGTTTAGGGTTTAGGGTTTAGGGTTTAGGGTTTAGGGTTTAGGGTTTAGGGTTTAGGGTTTAGGGGGCTCAGGCTTAGGCTTGTGGGCTGCGAGTTTAGAGGCTGATGGTTGGGTCTTGCGGGGGGCTTAGCAAGTTCTGCCTGAGATCCCTGCTGTGTGCAAGTTGAGACGTGGGTTTGTTTGCGGGCCCATCGACGGGCTAAGCCACTGCAGTAACAGTAATGTTGGACGCCGTTTAAGGGGTCCCACTCTATGAAGTCGAGTTGGCTGGGCTATTCAGGACACAATGACTGTTTGGGGGTGCGCGTGGGATCCTCTATTCGGCCACATCGTCCGGGAAAAGAAAATTTCGTGCAGGGCACCTTTTAAATCAATTGCCGGGCATGGCTGTCTCGTTTAAACTCACCTGAGGGGTTTGGGTTGGGGGTTGGGGGGAGGGTTGGGGGGGGTTGGGGTGGGGGTCCAACATCACGGAGCTTGAAGGGTTATTTTTTTCTTCAGGAAGTGAGACTTTGTGCCCAGGACTTTCAGGTAGGCATGTCAGGGTTAGGTGCTGTGTGCCTGGTGCGAGGTCCGTGCATTTACGCTGAAGCTGCTTCAGAGTACGCGCTTCGCGAACTTCATGGCCCTCATAGTTCCTGCAGTGAGCTTTTCAGTCATGTTTTCGGTGGTTTAGGGTTTCGGGTCGCTCTATAGGCCTGAAATGGGGGTTTCCCAAAAACGGGGCCCGTTTTGGGCGTCCCTTTAAGGGGCTTCTATTCTGGGGTATAAAAGGGGTACCCCCCTAAACCTTAGACCCTAAACCCTAAACCCCAAACCCTAAACCCCAAACCCCAAACCCTAAACCCTAATTAAACCCTAAACCCTAAACCCCAAACCCCAAACCCTAAACCCTAATTAAACCCTAAACCCTAAACCCCAAACCCTAAACCCTAAACCCTAATTAAACCCTAAACCCTAAACCCCAAACCCTAAACCCTAAACCCTAAACCCTAAACCCTAAACCCTAAACCCTAAACCCTACTTAAGGCCCTATTTTGGGAAACGCCCATATGGCAGCAAAGGTGTTGTTCGATGCATCTTCGCTCATTGTGGACATCGACTCTAAGGTTGCCCTGGAAAAAGTGTCTGTTTAGGGTTTAGGGTTTAGGGTTTAGGGCTTGGGGTTTAGGGTTTAGGGTTTAGGGTTTAGGGTTTAGGGTTTAGGGTTTAGGGTTTAGGGCTTACGCAAACCCAAGCTGTCATCATAGCTCCCTCAACTCAAAGGATGCACGGGCTGCCGGAGAATCTCCTCCAGAAGTGCTGATGCTGATGTCTGACCTGTGCCTGGCTATGTACACCGCAGCCTGCACCGCAGATGGTCTTGGTTTTAGGGTTTGGGGTTTAGGGTTTAGGGTTTAGGGTTTAGGGATAGTCGGGGTTCACTGTGGTTATTCCTGAGTTTGTAGAGGGCATTTAAGGGGTACATGAGGGGTACCGTTTTAAGGGACCATGCAACTACCCTTAGAATTATTTCGGAATGCGGAATGCTGCCATTACCGAAAAAAGTTTACATGCCTCACAGACACCAAGCCTGAAAGGACAGGCATCGGAAAAGCAAGTCCACATGAACAGACGCTCCGTCGTAGCAACGTGGTTTTTCAAATGGCTTCCACCACCAAAAACAACAGCAGCATGAAGAATAAGAAGAAGAATGCGAAGAATAAGAAGAAGAACACCAACAACAGCCATGGTTAAATACAGCACCAGCGTAACAGCCACTGCTCAATAGCCACAGCGCACTAGGGGCAGCACAACAGCAACAGCAACAGCGACAGCCACAACAACACATCAAACAAAAAAGGAGCCTGCAGCAAACAAACCGCAAACAAACAAACACACGAACAACAAACCAACAAAAGGAAAGCAAGCAAGCCAGCAAGCAACCAAATAATCACCGACAAGCAACTAACATACGAACCACAAGCAAGAGGCGAAAAAGAAGCGATCCACAAACGAGCCATGAGCAACCGAACAAGAATCCAAAACCAAGGAAACACTTGAAGAAACAACATGTAACACAATGTTACAACAACATGAAGAAGAAAAATAACGCAAACAACCAAAACAACAACAAGCGAAAAACCGAACACAGCACACAACTCCCCAACAGCAAAGCAGCAGCGAGCCAACGATAACCCCAAACACAAAGACCCTGATAACTTGAAGCGGTCCGCCCCTCAGCAACCTATGGACCCCTGAAGCAAAATTAAGAAAGTCCTTCGCCCAAGCACTTTCAGAAAAGGTTTGAGGTCAGTTGGCTTGGGGTTAAACACCCTAACCCTAAACCCTAAACCCTAAACCCTAAACCCTAAACCCTAAGTCCTAAGTCCTAAGTCGTAAGTCCCAAGTCCCAAGTCCTAAGTCCTAAGTCCTAAGTCCTAAGTCCTAGCAGCCCCAGCAAACCTCCGGCCACTGAATCTTCCCAAGATGGCAAAGGGGCGGCACTCACTGTCGCGGAGATTAGGGTAACCCACTAAACCTCTAGAACCTTCTCCACCCTAAACCCTAAACCCGAAACCGCACTAAATTCTCCACAAGAGTCCCAAAGGCTGAGCTGGTCCTGCTGATCATGCTCCGAGGCGCTTTGCTGTTCAGGTGTTGGGGGTCTTGGGGGTGTTCGGGGTTCGGGGTGTGGGGTTTGTGTGTGTGTGTGTGTGTCTGTGTGTGTGTGTGTGTGTGTGTGTGTGTGTGTCAGCTGTGGGGTGATAATTGGACTTGGGGCTTAGGCGTTGTGTTTTGGGCTTTGGGCGAAGCACGGTACACGATTTTGGTTCACACCCGAAAGCGTGCACGGTGAACCCTAAACCCCAAACCGCAAACCTTAAACCCTAAGCCCTAAACCCTAAGTTGGGGTTTTTGGGATACAGTTTAAGGGTTTCGGGCCAAGGTAGTTTGGGCAGCCTTTCAAAAGCCCCAAACCCCTGCTGCAGACCTCCCTGGAAACCCGAAACCCTAAACCTAAACCCTAAAACCTAAACCCTAAACCCTAAATCCTAAACCCTAAACCCCAAACCCTAAACCCTAAACCCTAAACCCTAGCCCTAAACCCTAAATCGCCTGGAAAAGGTTGGCAGAAGCTGCTGGAGTGGCTGGTAATGGTCGATGCCATCATTGTTGGCTGCGGCTACGCCCCCCGGTCCTGCACCCCGAAGTTGCCAAGCCTAGAGCGAGAATAGCTCAACGGCTTCAGGGGTCTAGGGTTTAGGGTTTTGGGGTTTAGGGTTTAGGGTTTAGGGTTTAGGGTTTAGGGTTTAGGGGCTTTCGTTCTTAACTCGTAAGATCCGCATTGTACAAGTCTCTCTCTGAGCTTCAACATCTGTAACCCGACATACCAGCAGGGTTGGCATAGATAGGGGCAAAGGGTTTGGAGATTTATCGTTTCGGCTGTGGCTGCACTACTATTTGCTTAACAGCCCCACAAGAAACAAACATACTCGTCCTCATCTGCTTATACGGGTAATACAGGAATCAGTATCTTGAATTTTGTGGGGGGCTTCTTAAGCAAATAGTAGTGCATGTTTATGTCCCTAAACCCTAAACCCTAAACCCTAAACCCTGTTGCGGGGTGGTGGTTGCCGAGGCGGAACTGATTGCTGGCAACTTTCTGGCCTCCGACAACCAGGGCTCGGTCAGTTCCTGCGCTGCATCTTGGAAACCTGAGCCCTAAACCCTAAACCCTACTTCCTAAATCCTAAACCCTAAACCTAAACCCATAGGTGGTACTGAGGTGTGAAAACCTCGTACCAAGCCCTCAGCACAAAACCCATCTTGGCCGACCTCCCAAGGGTTTGAATCCTAGACCGCTCGGCCACCTGATCAGCCCTGCAAAGCATGGGGTTTAGGGTTTAGGGTTGAGGGTTTAGGGTTTAGGGTCTAGGGTTTAGGGTTTAGGGTTTAGGGTTTAGGGTTCTTTCTAATGGGCATTTCTGGGCTTAGTTTGAGGTCGACGCGAGGTTCTGAGCTTTGGGCACCAGGCTTCAATGCCAACTTCATGCGTGCTTGCTGAAAAGCTTTAAGGAGTCCTCTCCCTTCAACATGCGAAAGCCCTGAACCATAAGCCCAAACACCCTCCCTCTTTTGCCCAAACTCCTCCCCTAAACCCTAAACCCTAAACCCTAAACCCTAAACCCTAAACCCTAAACCCTAAACCCTAAACCCTAAACCCTAAACTCCGACAGGCGTCTTCGGTATGCTGCGAGTCCTGAGACTGGCCCGGATCATCCGCCTGGTACGGCTGCTGCGGAAGGCCCCTAGACTTCGAGAGCTGCAGTTGCTCGGCGCCAGTTAGAAGGTTTAGGGTTTAGGGTTTCGGGTTTAGGGTTTAGGGTTTAGGGGGTTTGGGTCGGCTTGGGGTTGTGTAGGATTTCAGGGGCATTTTGGCCTTGGGAGTTCAGAGTTCGGGGGGGTTAGGGTTTAGGATTTATAGCCTTCAATCAGAGAGTAAGGGCCTAGTCTTGACTTCAAGGTGGAAGCATAGGTGTTGGAGGGCTGTTCGAATCTATGGAGGCCCAAGGCGATGGGTTGGTTGTAAGGATTCATTTAGGGCTTGCTGAGGTCAAAGGCTTCTCCTTCTGCGGGTGCTGACTTTGTGCTTTTTCGCTCCTTTTGCATCGTTGCACAACCACAACAAGACGACGTCCCAAAAGTCAACAACCCATGCGCCCTAAAACCCTAAACCTTAAACCCTATACCCTATACCCTAAACCCTAAACCCTAAACCCTAAGCCCTAAACCCACCCCGAATGCCCACCCAAGATGTCGCAGCCAAGGAAGCTGGTCACCATGATGGCCACCTGCTTGAAGGCCCTTGCTTGGTCCTTCGTCTTCTGCTTCGTGATCATGACCATATGGGCTCCTGGGCTGTTGTAGGGTTTGCGGTTGAGGGTTTAGGGTTTAGGGTTACCCGAGACCCTAAGGGTCCATGTACTTGGGCCTTAAAGCACTTCCTGTATAAGGACTTTACAGGCCCAAATCTATAAATGTCAGGTACATGGACCCTTAGGGTCTCGGGTTTCAGGTTCTACGCTTGAAAGGGCACTTGGGCATTATCTGGGCGCCTGGGCTCTTCTCGGGTTTCAGGTTCTGCGGTTGAAAGAGCACTTGGGGCGTTTTTGACAGGGGGATTGACATCTACCGGTGCATTTTCTCTTCACCTGGCCTAGGGTCTCAAGGTTTAGGGTTTAGGGTTTAGGGTTCAAGATGCGCCTAAGGCGATGCTGCTGGTGGAATGGGTCGGCCCTCTGATCAAGAAGCTTATGGAGGATCCTGAGCATGAACTCTGGCAACGCTGCGGGCAGGAGTGCCAACTGCTGACGAGCACGGTCATGAACGCGAATGTCCTGCTGTTCAAGACGGTAATTGCCGGGGACAGTGCCTGGTTGATCTTGGAAGTCATGTTGTTTCCCTGAATCTCAGCACTTGAAAAGCCAAACCTATTATTTGCTTTTATAACCCGAAAAGAAAAACTAACAATCCCCACATTGCCCTTAATGAGGAAGTTTTTTTAGGGGTTCTTAAGCAATTAGTAGAAACCGACCCCCTCAATCCCCAGCAGCCGAAGAGCTTCCCAAAACGGACGCGGCCATGACGCAGCAACAACATACAAACCGTAGGGTTTAGGGTTTAGGGTTTAGGGTTTAGGGTTTAGGGTTTAGCAAGGTTTCTGATTGAGGAGACAGCGCGTATGACCGGCGCGTATACCCAGAAAAAAGCAGCAGACTTGTTCAACCTGGCCGCCGGCCTCATTTGAGCCCATGGGCCTTGCAACAGCGCAGCAGAAACCACTTGCGATATGCTTCCGAAAGCTACCCCTAAACCCTAAACCCTAAACCCTAAACCCTAAACCCTAAACCCTAAACCCTAAACCCTAAACCCTAAACCCTACGCCCAACTTTCAGCCCGACCTTCCGGGAACAATGGGAGGTCGGCCCAGCCCAGTGCAGGCAGATTCGCATGGTTGAGTCAGCCCCGAGGGTTTAGGGTTTAGGGTTTAGGGTTTAGGGTTTAGGGCTCCAGCCCAACTCATGCGCCCCAACGCTTCGCCGCCGGAGCACGTTGGGCCTCCCAGCAGGATGTACACAGGAACTGCGTGTAGCTTCGTCAACTTACGACTTGCTTAAGAACCCCCAAAGAATAAGAAATGAAAATCCCTATGTTGCTCTAGAAGGAGATTCTCTTAATTTTTTGGGGGGTTCTTAAGCAACTAGTAGTCAAGCACCGGGAAAAATGAGAACCTACTTGTACAAGACACACCCAAAGAGCCCAATATCCCTTAATTAAGGAATATCCGAATATTCCTTAAACCATATTAAGGATCCCTACATAAACTAAGCAATATTCCCTAATTAAGGGATATTGGGCTCTTTGGGAAGACACAAAGCCCAGCCGACTTTTGGGGAATGGACCTCTTGACGACTACGCATTGCCAGACTTCCAGGGTCCACCCTTGCCTGCTGCCCATATGGGTACATACAGGCTTGTGTTTAGGGTTTAGGGTTTAGGCAAATGTACCTATAGATATAAACAGACAACCCTGATGCATAAGGAAGCAGATGACATCATGAGTAGTAACACGGGATCAGTCACTTGACTGGGGACAACAGCCAAGGCTGGGGCTTGATCGCAGTTCCGGTTATTCAAGAGTATCCTGCGACGGCCATCATCTTCATGGGCTCGCTGCTGACACTGGTCTTCGGCGTCCTGAACCTGATCGTCGCAGTGGTTGCGCAGCGGCTGCAGCGAGGAGTTTTTCTAGGCTTTGTTAGCTGGAGCAGTTGCCAAGCTTGTGCACGTGGGTGCATGGTTTCTTCTCCGAAATCCCGCCTGACGAAGTTCCGTAATCTTCGCTAATGCTTAAAGTTTTATTTAATTTTGAACTAGTCGCCTCCGCCTCCGGCAAGTCACAGTGTACCGCAGAAACAGAGTTCCGGAAGTTGTTGTTCAGTCAGGGTTGTGTTGTGTCCGCGTGCAAAGGCTCACAAAACACCCTCACTTGAGTTCTTTGTCCACTAGGACTTGGAGACCCAGGGATTGCGGAGGCTTAGGGATACTTCGGAATAGTTGTTAAATCTTGGGGCACCAAAATTCCTCAGAAACAGCTAAACTGACAATTTCTGCTAGGGTCCCTAGGGTTTAGGGTTTAGGGTGTAGGGTTTCGGGTTTGGGGTTTAGTATTTAGGGTTTAGGGTTTAGGGTTTAGGGCTCCTAGTTCAGCATGGTAGGGTCAACTGATTTTTGCCTGCGACCGCTGGAAGCGAGAGCTAGATTCCCTCTGGCAATGGCAAACTCCTCGTCGATGCCGTGTTTCCGGCAGGGTTTAGCGGGTTTAGGGTTTGTTAGGGTTTAGGGTTTAGGGTTTAGGGTTTAGGGTTTAGGGTTTAGGGTTTGACCCTTTTGAAATTCAGCGACTGGTAGAGTCTGAAGCACGAGCAACTTAGGGAGAAATCATGCCCTTCTTGAGGTAGACACTTTTGCGGAAGCACGTGAGCGCGACGTGCTGAATCTGGCAGAAGAGATGGAGTCACTCGCACGTATTTGCTGCTCCGTTTTTAAGGCACCTTTGATCTTTAGTTTCTTTCGTGGTAACATGTTTGTAGGCTTCCCGGGTTTTGAGCGAAGTGCTCGGTACTACCCCCAAGATTCATGGTAAAACCTTGAGAGTGTTGGCTCCAGAGTCTATACATCCCCGAAGCGCTAAGCTTCCGCCCCTCCCCCCCCGCAAGAACGCCGTTTTGTGTAAAGTTTCTTGGTCTTGTAATGTTTGCTTGCCAGCTCACGACCCACTGAGGTGTTGAGAGGTAAGGTTTTAGAGTTCAAGATTCTCAAGATTTGAAGGCTTAGGGGTTTAAGGTTGAACTTTGTTGGCTGAGAGCCGATATTCCGATTGGCGCAGCTGAGTGGGGCGAGGCCCAATTGAGCAACCAAGGCGAAACCACGAAAACGACAAGAAGTTGCTTGGCTGAGACGTTGTGACGTTCTGTAAACCTGCCCTACATCCTAAACCCTAAACCCTAAACCCTAAACCCCTGAGCAAATGCATCTGCTGGTACGGCGCTTGCCAATGCTGCTGCTGAGTCTTGCTCGTCTTGCCAGACGCAGGCTTCAGGATTCCTGGGGAAACCTGAAGCCCTAAACCCCCCATAGCCTTTGAGAACCTTCGACCTCGAAGCTTTCCGGAGGTTCCTGCAAAAAGTTTTCGAGCGGATCGATGAAGATGGCCCCTTGGATACTACAGGGGGCCGGAAAAATGTGAATAGGGTTTAGAGTTTAGGGTTTAGGGTTTAGGGTTAGGGCTACTATAATATAGGGGCCTTAATGGTTTTTTTTGGGTGGGGGGGATTGCTAGCCATAAGGGAATGCTATTTGTAATTATTCTGACCCCTATATTAGAGGCTTTTTCTTTCGAATTCTTCTAGCGTTTCTGGCTTAAAAGTCTCAGAAAAACTAGGACCCGGAGTAGGCCCTTATGTCCTTTTTTTTGGGTTTAGGGTCCCTTATAAGCCACTTTAAACCAACAAGTGTACCCTGTTTAGACCTAGGTTGGTTACTCTTGGGTCTAGACAACCAGAGTCTGTTTCCTGCAAAATGCTTCAACGCCTCGGCTGCGGTTAGGGGATTCGGGCAAACCCTGAATTTCTTTGATTCAAAGGGCTAACTTTAAACCCTTTAAACCCCTTAAACCCTTAAAACCCTTTCGACCCTTTGAACCTTCAAAACCCTCAATTCCTTTGAACCCTTCAAACCCTTTAATCACTAAACCTTCCCTAAACCCTAAACCCTAAACCCAAAGCCCTAAGCCCTAAACTCTAAACCCTAAACCCTAAGCCCTAAGCCCTAAACCCTAAACCCTAAACCCTAAACCCTAAACCCTAAACCCTAAACCCTAAACCCCAAACAGTTTCAGGGTTTCTTGGGTCTCGGGCCCATGCCTGGTCTCAAGATCGCCCTCGCTCGGCCGTAGGGCTGCAAGAGCGAAGTTCATGACGACATCCGGTTTAGGGTTTAGGGTTTAGGGTTTAGGGCTTAGGGTTTAGGGTTTAGGGTTTAGGGTTTAGGGTTTAGGGTTTAGGGGTATGGTGATTTCATTCGGGTGGGTTAAGTTTTGCACCACGCAGGCCATTTAGAATGCACATTTTTGTGAACCCCGCGACTCCTCAATCTGCTGATCCCTGGTATGGGTGTCGAAACTCTCGTCCTGCCTACGTATGAAGCCGAGAGAAGCCCCGAGCTGGCCAAGAGCCCCCTCCCCCTCCCACCCCAAAGTTCGAAGAGCCAAACCCAAAGAGCCCAATACCCCTGAATTAAGGAATATACCTTAAACCATTTTAAATTTTAAGGATCGCTATATAAATTAGGCAAGATTTCCTAATTAAGGGATATTGAGCTCTTTGGGAAGATCAGGTAGCGGCGAGCTCACACTGGAAGAGCTTGTGGAGGGAGCAAGGAAAGACCCTGAGTTTCAGAGTCGGCTGCGGGACGCACGGTGGCATTATTTCTTGTGCATAGGCCTTCGGTTTTGTCGGTTTGGGTTGGCCCTTCTGACACTTGCAGTTGCAGGAAACCATGGCAAATGCTAGGGAACCCTAAGCCCAAGATCCTACTCTCAGAGCACAGGGCCAAGAGCTTAGATCTTTCATGCAAACCCTAAACCTAAACCCTAGACCCTAGACCCGAAACCCTAAACCCTAAGCCCTAAACCTCGATTCCTCGGTGCTTTTCTGGGATGTGCTGTGCTCTCCGAGGTGATGGACATCGACGAGGCAGGACAAAGATTAGGCTTGAGGAATTCTTTGGGGTTTAGGGTTTAGGGTTTTAGGGTTTTTAGGGGTTTAGGGCGTTTAGGGTTTTAAGGGTTTTCGGGTTTTTAGGGTTTTTAGGGTTTTAGGGTGTTCAGGGTTTTTGGGTTTTTGGGTTTGTGGGTTTTTGGGTTTTGGGGTTTCAGGGTTTCAGGGTTTCAGGGTTTTTGTTTTTGTTTGGCTTTTTTTGGTTTTTGGGTTTTGGGGTCTTAGGTTTAGACACCCTATAACTTGGTAGGTCGGTGGCACCCATGGACCGTTCTGGGCCCCCTCATGATGTAGCCAACCCGAACAAGGGTACCCTGATTGTAATATGGTTACTGGGTTACCGAGTTTAGGGTTTAGGGTTTAGGGTCTAGGGTCTAGGGTTTAGGGTTGCTAGAGCCACCAATTTATCATGGCCTCTACAAGCCCTGCATATCTCCGAGGTCCAGAACTTGGTATAGGGCAGGAGATTGAGCCTCGCATAAAGCCCGCCAATTGTTTGCGTGCTTGTGTTCAAGGATTCAAGCCTAAACCCTCAGCCCCAAGCCCCAACACCCAAACGGTAAACCCTAAACCCTAAACCCTAAACCCTAAACCCTAAACCCTAAACCCTGAACCCTGAACCCTGAACCCTGAACCCTGAACCCTGAACCCTAAACCCTAAACCCTAAACCCTAAACCCTAAACCCTAAACCCTAAACCCTAACCCGAAGGTTGGGATTCAGGGTCTACCCTGCCCTTCTGCAGGTGGACCTGCAACAGCTCTTTGAGATGATTGACGTGGACGGGTCGGGTGCCATCGAGGCATGCCATCAAGAAATCTGGAGTAGATATCCTAATTAGGGTTTAGGGTTTAGGGCCTAGAGAGGTTGGGATGTTCCCTCCTTATACTAGCAGTCCTTAAACAAAGGGATGATAATCGGGGGTACTAGAATCCCCTATTTTTTTGGACTCTTCGTATAAGGGGGAACATCGCAACTTGCAGGGTTGAACCAGGGCCCATGAGTCGCGTTCCGGCTGTTTCTTTTTTTGCGGTCTGGGCCTATCGTGTTGGGGGAGGTTCGGGTTCCGTTTGGGTTTAGGGTTTAGGGTTTAGAGTTTAGGGTGTAGGGTTTAGGAGTTAGGGGTTAGGGTTTAGGGTTTAGGGTTTAGGGCTTTTTCCAGGTGTGGGGGGCTTGTTTTCTCTAGGTGCAGTGGACCACAGTGAGCCTCCCAGTGTCCCAGCCGACGGTTTTCCTAGCTTTCGCAAGTGTTGTTGCAGTTCCCAAAAAGCCCAATATCCCTTCATTAGGGGCTTAATTAAGGGGTATTGGGCTCTTTGGGTTGTGTGGCATGTATTGTTGTCCAATGCGCGGCGTTCCTCCTAGGTGCAGCGATTGGTACGGCAAACGGGTTTCTTGCTCCTCTGTGTGGGGTTTTGTGCTTGGTTGTGTGAGTTGTGTGCCCACTCAGCAAGTGGGGTAGGAACAATGTGACACGTCTCAAGGCGTCGTGCTCAGGACAGCAGGCAGTTTGCCACCCTGAGGCAATGCAGCTTTGTAGGACCCAAGGGCCGCAACTGCGCCGTAATGAGACCTGAGTAAGCAGACCAGGATGGCCTAAGGCGGGCAACTGTACCGGAATGCTGCCTTCATCAGCAAGCCACAGAGCTGCTGATATACAAGGAGGGGGGGGGGCCCCCAATAGAGACCCCCAAATAGTAGGGTCCTCTTATAATAAGGACCCCAATAAGGTACCCCCTAATATCGTAACCCGCAATCTTAGTAGTCTGTAAAAGGGGATCGAGGCTTTCTCAACCTTTACAAGCCCTTAAAACCCTAAACCCTAAACCCTAAACCCCAAACCCCAAACCCTAAACCCTAAACCCTAAACCCTAAACCCTAAACCCTAAACCCTTAACCCTTAACCCTAAACCCTAAACCCTATAACCCTAAACCCAAGAGCGCTAGCCTTTCCGCAGGCCGCGGAATTCATCGCGCCACTTAGCCGATGGGTCCACGACTCCAAGACGGCTCCACGTTTCATCAAGCGCCTGAGATGCCAAGATGGTTTAGGGTTTAGGGTTTAGGGTTTAGGGTTTATTGAGTTTAGGGTTTAGGGTTTAGGGGGTTTAGGGTTTAGGGTTTAGGGTTTGGTTCCGTGGTTTCGGTTCCATGATTGTTTGCCCTGGGCTTGAAGCCTTGAAATCCAAATCCTGGCTAAGCGAAACCCTGGGAGACTGGGTTCACTCCGTGATCGTTACTCGGCAATTCTGCTCTTAAGGCTCAACGTGGGTCCAAATCCCTGACCCTGAACCACACGGTCTTCAGAGTTGTTAACTGCACAAGGTGCAGGTTTCTCCGCTCTAGGCTGGTGCTGGTATTGAAGGAATGAAGAACCACTTTCGGGGTTAAAGGCTTCCTAGGGTTCCTGGGGTTTAGAGGATTTAAAGGGTTGTTAGGGTATTAGGTTTTAGGGTATAGGGTTTGTAGAGTTAGGATTTGAATGTTTAGAGTTCTTAGCTCAGCCAAGTCCAGCCTGCGCACGGCTAAACTCCCTTCCCGGTCAGACAAAGCCCACTCAGTCCGGAAGCCATGCATCCTGAAACCACGAGGGCCAATTGCTGTAAACTCGACTCCACCCAGCTCTAACCTTGAAACCCGAAATGCAACCCCTATAGGCCTTAAGCTCACCCTGTGCTTACTTTTGCAATGCCGACTTCAGTACTTCCCTGCATCTCGCATCTTCACCACCAAGAATCTTCAAGTCAGGGTTCTTCAATTTCGAGGGTTGAGGGCTTCAAGCATTTGGGCATTTGGACCCAGTGAGACTTGCTGCGGCTTGAGGTACAACATGCTACGGTCAATGCAGCAGCAGGAGCCATGGCTCACGATTTCGAGCTGAGGGCTTTGCTACGCGCCTAACGTGTCACGGCCGTGGGGTCATCCTATGTCCTAAGCCCACGACGCTCGTGAACCCATGGCCATGCCTGACTGCGTCATCACTTTCTTGTTCTGGGTGTAGAGTTTGGAGGCTTGGGGTTGAGATGGGTTGAAGGACGAGTCTTACTACCTTTCACAAGCACTCCACCTGCAGTTTGCAACGGAGGCTGCTTGATGGGTGTTTGCAGGATGCTGCGTGATGCTTCGTTCGTAAACTTCAAGCCGCAAACGGCGCAAGTGCTAAACCACAAATCTGGAGCATGGCTCTTTTCTCAGCCTTTCCCCAAAGCACCAAGCCATTCAAATCCCGAAAGTCCTGACAATCTGAGACCCTCTTTAAGACCTTGCCCTGCGCTCGGTATCCCGCAGGAAGAGATCTACCGGCAGTCGCAGTTCCACTACAACTCTCTCTCCGTTCGAATGGTGGCCTGACAGACAAACCCAAAGGGTCCATGTACTCATGTAGCTAGATACTTGGGCCTTAAAGGGGTTCCTATATAGTAGCTTTAGGGGCCAAGTATATACTATGTAGGTACATGGACCCGTAGGGAAAGTGTTCCTTGCAGCGTTTCCTGGCGCCCTTGGCACCCAAAAAGCCCCGAGATCCGACGCCGAGGTCCTCAAACACCTGAACCCTATAAACCCTAAACCCTAAACCCCCAACCCTAAACCCAAAACCCTAAACCCTAAACCCTAACCCCAAACCCTAAACCCTAAACCTAAACCCCAAACTCTAATCTCTGTGTCGGGCAGGAAGCTGAAGTCAAGAAGCCCAGCATGGCCTTTGAGCCCTTAAGGGCTCCTGATACAGTGTAGGGTTTAGGGTTTAGGGTTTAGGGTTTAGGGTTTAGGGTTTAGGGTTTAGGGTTTAGGGTTTAGGTTTAGGGTTTAGGGTTGGGTTTAGGGTTTAGGGTTTAGGGTTTAGGGTTTTGGGTGTACTTGTGGGGGTGCCGGAGGTTCGACCACCAGGCGAACGGGTCGCTGTTCTCTGTGTGTTCACTTCCCTGTCTACGCTTATCCCAAAAACCTCCCTAGAGCCCTAAATAGGGGTACCCTTTTACGAGTTCCTACAATGAGGATTATACAATTTTGGGGTATGAACCTCCAAGTCCTTTAGACCCGACACCCTAAACCCTAAACCCTAAACCCTAAACCCTAAACCCTAAACCCTAAACCCTAAACCCTAAACCCTAAACCCTAAACCCTAAACCCTAAACCCTAAACCCTAAACCCTAAACCCTTCCAGGAAGAGCTTTACCAGGTGGTCGAGGCCCTGAGCCAGGCCGGGTCAGGTTTAGGGTTTAGGGTTTGGGGTTTGGGGTTTGGGGTTTGGGGTTTAGGGTTTAGGGTTTAGGGTTTAGGTTCGGATTTTGGAGCTTGGGGGGATTTGGAGGGTGGGAGGGGGTGGGTGGGGAGGGGGGGGTTGAGGCCATTCAGGGTTCGGTTTAGGGTTTAGGGTTTAGGGTTTAAGGTTTAGGGGCTTGGAATTGAAGGAAGACACGACACCACAACTTTTTCAGCACCCCGAGCCGTCAATCCCTCAAGCAAGCCTTATCCTTCCTGGTCTTCAAGAAGACCTCTTGCGGATCCCCTCCCTGAACTCGTACTAAACACCTCTGAAGCCCCACCCCAAACCCCAAACCCCCAAACCCCAAACCCCAAACCCCAAAACCCCAAACCCCAAACCCCAAACCCTAAACCCCAAACCCCAAACCCCAAACCAAAACCCCAAACCCCAAACCCCAAACCCTTTTAAACCCCAAACCCTAAACCCTAAACCCTAAACCCTAAACCCTAAACCCTAAACCCTAAACCCTAAACCCTAAACCCTAAACCCTAAACCCTAAACCCTTAAACCCTAAACCCTAAACCCTAAACCCTAAACCCTAAACCCTAAACCCTAAACCCTAAACCCTAAACCCTAAACCCTAAACCCTAAACCCTAAACCCCACCCCCCAGCCTTCAGACCCTCTCACGCCCAAAGTCGCCCTGCGCAGGGACGGCAAGCGCAGCTGGGGTCCCAGGAGCCTTACTCAGCCAATTTTTTGGACTTTAAGCTTTTGTTGGGTGTCCGTATTTAGTAGGAAGAATCAAGCTAAGGTTTAGGGTTTAGGGTTTAGGGTTTAGGGTTTGGGGTTTAGGGTTTAGGGTTTAGGGTCTTTTTTTCACTTGGCTTTTGGAGTTGTAAGGAACAGAATGAGTCCACGCCCAGCTCGCCCAACCGCTCGCCCAACATGGACGCTGAGGAACCGTCCGCTGCTCTGGCAGGAAAGTTTACAGGTCGGCCCTAGGGGCATTTTGCATTTTCCCTTATTGGGTTAAGAGGATTATGTTCAGGAATATTTTTCGGAGGGTTTTAAGGGACATCCTAGTAGAGATCGGAGGGTTTTGTGCGTACCTTGAGAAAACGGAAGCCTAAATCCGATGATAGAAAAAGGGTTTGCAGTTGTTTCTTGCGTTTGGCCGTGTGGCTATCGGAACGTTTGAGGTCAAGCCTTCATGACTTGTATGTTTTGATGGGATGGGAATGTCTTGTCGGAGAGGAACGCCCAGCGAAGACAGGGATTTTTGTCCAGCTCTGAGCTGTGTAACTTAGCAGAACCCAGGACTTCGGAGCCTATGACGTTGCTGAACGTTTTGTTGCGCGTGGAACATCTCAAGTGTGTGTCAGTCTAGCAAACGGTGCAAGTCTTTGTCCTGGCAAACCCTCGGCCTAGCCCAACCCATCAAGCACCCGGAAAGACTGTAATAAACAGCCTTTCAAGCTTTGCAAACTGCAGACACCAGGCTGATGTTTTATTGTGTAAAATGCGCGGGAGCCTTCGGAAATGCCGAATAGTTGTCGAACATCTCATCTCGAGTGGTGTAATTTCGCAGCATTTGGCGTGCCGCGAAACCTGTGCAAACCTAACCTCCAAACGATAAGCGGCCTCGTCCTGTCCGGGAGTGTAGGCAGTCCCAGGCACCAACCATCATATCTTGCTCTCGAGAAACGTGATCTGGGGAGCTGAACTGCTTAGTTCTAGAGTAGGTAACCTTTAACCTTTTTGAGGTAATATAATCCCCTTATCATCCCAAAGGTTAACCTTTAGTTCCCCTAGGTACTGGACAACTAGGACTGCGTTCTTCCCAATGACTTGTTATGTTGCGCTGTCTGCCAAATGCAGAAGCCGCCACCTCACCCAAGCCCTATAGACCCCGGACCTTCACAGGCCTCGCACAGGGCTCTTGAGCTCATTCGGGTTTAGCTTAGAGCTTCAGGAGGTTTGTATGGTTGAGATTTTATGGAGACAGGGTTGTGGGATAGCATGCAATTCCTAGCACAGCACCAAGACGTGTTCTCCCCCCACCACGCCTCCCCCGCACTCCCCACCCAACACCTCCCGCCAACACGCAAGCACGGACCCTTAACCGCTTGTTGCCAAAAACTTGCAGAGCGGATTTCTTGCGGACTTCTGCTTTGAAATTTCATCGTCATTGATCAGAAGAGCTGCCCCGAACACCCTGCCAGCATGCAAACACGCCAGAGTCGCGAAAGAGTCCGCGCATGGCAGGCTGAGGCTTCACAGGATTACGCTCAAGAGAGAAGCAGCTTGTAGCGTTAACTACTCATCATGAACGAAGAATTTGTAGCGGCTGGCTTGACAAGCTAGCTGTATCGTCAGATCGGGCTTGTGTGACGAATGGTGGCTTCCCGCATCATTTGGTGGTGAAGCTTTTATGGTGGCTGATTTCTGTTCAATGTGGCTCGGATGGAGAATGCGTCTCAGGTGGTTGTAAATGCCAGCGGATTTTGCCGCGGATTTTCAGCGGATTTTTCTTAAAGGCGTTTGTTGTCTTCACAAAAATCCCCGCAAAAATCCCCGTCAAAATCCCCGCAATGTTCTGAGCTGCGCTAACAGCCTCACCACAAGAAATCCCCGCACTCTGCAGCCCGAAATTTGGGCCTGTCAATGGCAAATTGCGGGCATGACGAATCTGCCTTATCTGCTGTGACTTTTCTGGTCTAATGTTGACTTCGCATTAATAAACCCGCCCCCCCCTTCATTGATCAATCTCTCCGGCCAGGGCCTCCTCAATAATGTTCGCCTAAATCCTGGTAGGACGTACTATTAGTTTTAGTATTAGGTAGTAGCACCACGCCCGTAAAAAACGGATTTCCCGGGTCGGATTTTACAATTGTGGCGGGCTACACTATTGTGTTCCGGCAGCGGGATTTTACAATTGCGGCGGGAATCACTAATGTGAAGTCAACATTATGCAAAAGCCTTGGCAGAGCAAAGCGTTGCTGATGGTTTTGTTTGTTTGCTCTCAGCATTTGGCCTCCCTGGGGGTTTGTTTGGGCACAGGTGTGCCCATTACCGGGGCTCACATCTGCAGGTGTATCAGCTTGCCTGAATCTGAAAACTGACCCTCATGCATACAACCAAAGCGACATTGCAACATAAAAAAACTATGAAATAAATCCCCGCAGAGCGCCTGCAAGAGCATTAGCCCCAAAACCGCAAGGGCTTGGGATATTCCCCTTTATACTAACAGTCCTTATACACAAGAGCTGGCCGCCCTGGACCCCTCCCTCGAACCTGCCCCCGAGACCTCCGAGACCCTTCACAACCCTGTAAGGTTTAGGGGTATTGAGGGTTTAGGATTTAGGGTTTAGGGTTTAGGGTTTCCGGTGTTACGCCAAGGAGCTGGAGATTGCCGCGCGCCAGCGAATGTCGCCACTCGGCCGAGAATGACGGCAAGCGAAGAAGCTACAGTGCGGGATGTAGGGCTTGTCGGTTTAGGGTTTAGGGTTTAGGGTTTAGGGTTTAGGGTTTAGGGTTTAGGGTGTAGGGTGTAGGGTTTCGGGTTTGTCATAGGGCAACGGGTTTTAGGACGTAAGGATTGTTTGACTTGGGCTTAGGAAGTGAGGGCTTGGAGCTAAGGGCATCTGGGTTCGGGGCTTGTCCGGGGCTGTGGAGATTTAGGATGGTTTTGGGCGTGGGGTTTGCGTTAATACTGTTATTGATTCTGGGTTCATATGCTACTTGTACCTAATATATATGAAACCCTAAACCCTAAACCCTAAGCCCTCAAACCTCAACCCTAAACCCTAAACCATACATATACATTTTTTCAGGGTCGACTCCAAAGTAGGGGTTTGCACCCTTTTGAGCAGGCTCCGTGACCCGAAGCCCTAAACCTAAGCTCTCTCTTGTCCCGCATCCTGAAATCTCAGGTTGGAACCATGGGCCCTAAACCCTAAACCCTAAACCCTAAACCCTAAACCCTAAACCCTAAACCCTAAACCCTAAACCCTAAACCCTAAACCCTAAACCCTAAACCCTAAACCCTAAACCCTAAACCCTAAACCCTAAACCCTAAACCCTAAACCCTAAACCCTAAACCCTAAACCCTAAACCCTAAACCCTAAACCCTAAACCCTAAA